ATTGTAAAATTAAGAGTTATTAGGGAATTTTGTAATTTTGACTTTTTATAAACTTGAACCCCCAAAAAATTAAGGCTGCGAATGTCCAAGATATACCGGCTGGGTTCAAGTCAATTTTAATTTGTATATGATATAATAGCGTGACAGGGTATCGCAGATGATATGTGTTTTAATGAAAATGGATTTTTGTGTAATGGAAGAACACGATTCGTAAATTTTCAAATCGGACATGTGGGATTTCATTATTTAAAATGGCTCAACCTTTGCGAATAGTGGTGTTTGCACTATATCACCAGCTGCGAAGATTGAGTATGATTTATATTTTTCTGTTTGAAGTGATTGAGATATAGTTTTTCTATCTTTATGTTATTGTTTCTTCAATTCAGCAACGAATAATTCATCTATTTGCTTCCTTATTTACCTTTGCCATCAGTTTTAATTGGAAAAAAGACACTGATGCTCAAATAGTTCGTTTAGCGTGAAAGATCAGATCAAAATAAGGATGCAAATAATTTTATTGATGTAAAATCAAAATTAATCATTTTATATTAAAATATTTACAACTTCATTTTGTTTCCAATCTTTTACACATTGTAATAAGATAAACAAATGGAATCCATAGTTTCTTTAGCTTTGGGTTCATCTAATAAGTGAAGCTTTTCGAATCGTTTTCTAAGAATTTTGGATTATAGACATTTAATACCACACCACATTATCTTGTAGTATTCCATTTTACACAGCTGGCGTATATCAGTTCCATATTATTTTTCGTAGTTCCTTGCTAAAGGTACGATAAGTGGTGATTTGGCAGGTGCTGATAGCAATTTGAAACTACAAAATTCCGTGGATCAAGGCGTTGAACTCGGAAAATAATATCGATCCAATATTTTAGATTATCCATTTCCAAGGAGTCTAGAATTTTTTGGGCTCTCTTCAGTTAAAGTATTAGAAGGCATTCATGGAATGTCTCTTTTTCCCCTTTTTAACCTTCTAATACCTTCAGTAGCCAATTTTAGCAACTTTATTCATCATTTTATAAAATGTTTGATCAGTGATACTAGCAAAACTTTTAAAGGCGAAAATATATTTTAAATTTTACAATAGAAAATACGTTTGGAAAGGTATTTTAAATAAAATACAAAATGCTTTTATCAAAAAAGTACTTAAATACAAAATGAAAATAGGTATTTTTTATTTTGTATTTGCATTTTAAATGTAAGTATTTCAAATAAATTACATCTCTGGAAATACATAATATGGTAAAATGTAAATAGCAGTTGGCGAGTACAATAGATTAAATTATGTTCATTTTTTAAAGTATCTAAACTCTAAACTCTTAAAATTTCTTCGTTACTTTGATTAAATTTGGAACAATTTTATTATTCTAACTTTATTTGTACGAAGGACTACGGAATAGAATAAGGATGGAGTGTAAAGTGTAATTATAAACAAAGCGAATGAAGTTACTCAAACGAATTTGCTTCTTTATTTTATTAGCTCTAGCAAAATTTGATTCTCTTTAACACTTTTTATTTTATTAATATTATTTTTTAATTTCTCTTCACTTAAAATATTATATAATTCCGATAATTAAACAATAGGTATTGTTCCATTCATAATTAAATTGAATAATTAATTTTAATCACTGGAAATATTGATTCAACCTTTTTTGATTAAACAAAACATATTAACTTGATACGTAGGTGCTTGAGAAAAAAAGTGTTATCATTATTAAAATTTTTAAGATACATAGATATAAATCCACAAAGTTCTTACCTCATCATCGCAAAAGCTCGCAATCTCGCGTCTTTCAGAGCTGAAAGGCAAGTCGAACTTTTAAATTTAAATTTAATTTCTGCCTTCATCATCATAAGGTCGTCAGTCCTAAGACTGGTTGGACACGCACCTCCACTCTTTCCTATCCTGAGCTAAACTTCGCATTTCCCTAAAACTAGAACAGCCCACATCCTTAACTATTTGCGAAGAGTAATCTAATCTAGGTCTACCTCTACCCCTCCTAACTCCTGTTTCTGCCTCTAATATGTCTCTGACTAGACCTTCATGCCTGAGAAGGTGTCCTACCAACCTATCTCGCCTATTTTTTATTGACTTCCATAGAGTCCTCTGTTCTCCTATTCTTTCCAATACCTCTTCATTTCTAACCTTTTCTACCCACGATATCCTCATCATCCGCCTATAACACCACATTTCGAACGCTTCTAACCTTTTCTTTTCCGCCGCTCCCACTGTCCATGTTTCGCACCCGTACAACGCCGTGCTCCAAACATACACCTTTAACAACCTTTTTCGAATTTCTAAATTAACCGTTCGCGAGCATAGAAGTGACTTCTTTTTATTAAAGGCGACACGACCCTGCGCTATCCTCTGCTTTATATCCCTACTACTCCTTCCATCCTCACTTATCTGACTTCCTAGGTATCTAAAATCAGCCACTTCTTCTAATTTTTCGTCTCCTATCTTTATATTCGCTCTTTCCCTACTTTTTCTTCCCTTGCATACCAGTATTTTTGTTTTACTTTTATTTATTTTCATACAGTACTGATCTGTCAGTACCGCTTCCATTTTATTTAAAGCTATCTCTAGATCCTCCTTGCTAGATGCTAATACTGCTATATCATCTGCAAATCTATGCATAGTAATCTTTTGCCCTTGCACATCTATCCCTACAGTTGTACTGCCTTTAATGATGTTGATTGCATCTTTGATGTGTAGATTGAAAAGTAGCAAAATTGTCAAAAGATTTTTCCAAATCTACAAATCCCTTGTACGCACTCTTTCCTTTTTCTATCGTTTTCTCTATTGTCATGATTTTAAAATTGTATTTTGTTTCCTTTTGAAACTACGATCAGGAAATTCAGTTTGAATTCTAAAAATGAACATATATTTAACTATTGGACTGAGACGAACAAAAGTAAAAAATCGAAAAAAAAATACATTTGTCACTGTAATATTATGTAATATATTGTAAATAGTCGTACATATCATGTATGTATATTGAGTCAGTGATAAGCCATGCTATGCATATAGTTATTGAAATACCCTTGTACTTAAATACCGTTAAATTAGGTCCCTATTTAAAAATAATCCGTATTAGATACATAAAATAACAAGTTTATACATAATGTATGTATACCTAAATAAAAGAGTACAGTAAATACATACATTTTTATTAAAAATAACAGTACAGTTTTTTGTTTCGAATTTATTGTAAGTACACATTTTCAAAAAACAGTGCTGATAATATTTTTGTAGATATAGTAGCCAAACATTGTCGGTAACAATCCACGAAAAAGGGAAATAAACATATAAACAGTTGTAATTTTTATTCCGACATAATGTAATATCTAGTACTTAACAAAAAACTTATGTTATCTTTTTAACGGTTTATTAATTTATCATTTTGTTTTTCACATAGATCCTAATTTGATTAATTTTTTTGTACCATAGGGGTACCTTTTATCCAGAAAAAAGGTACTGTTCCCGAGGAACAGAAAAATAAATTTTATATGATATTTGTCACGTATTTAGGATATCAAGGTGAGCGAAGCCGTGGGTAAAACCTATCATGAAGATTTGTACACATATTGTCAGGGATACAGAAAAGGATATAGAGTACCTTTTAACCAGAAAAAAGGCAATGTTCCTGAAGAATAAAACAATTAGTTTTATGTGATTGTCGAAGATCATTGACACGTTTGACGACATCAATGCGAGCGAAGCCGCGGGTAAAACCTACCATGAAATTTTGTACACACATTGTCAGAGATACAGAAAAGGACATAGAGTACCTTTTAACCAGAAAAAAGGCAATGTTCCTGAAGAATAAAACAATTAGTTTTATGTGTGGTTGGAAGATCATTGACTCGTTTGATATCAATGCGAGCGAAGCCGCGGGTAAAACCTATCATGAAGCTTTGTACACACATTGTCAGGGATACAGAAAAGGAATAGAGTACCTTTTAACCAGAAAAAAGGCAATGTTCCTGAAGAATAAAACAATTAGTTTTATGTGATTGTCGAAGATCATTGACACGTTTGACGACATCAATGCGAGCGAAGCCGCGGGTAAAACCTATCATGAAATTTTGTACACACATTGTCAAGGATACAGAAAAGAGCATGAGGTACCTTTTAACCTGAAAAAAGGCACTGTTCCTGAAGAATAAAACAATTATTTTTATGTGGTCTTGGAAGATCATTGACTCGTTTGATATCAATGCGAGCGAAGCCGCGGGTAAAACCTATCATGAAATTTTGTACACACATTGTCAAGGATACAGAAAAGAACATGAGGTACCTTTTAAACAGAAAAAAAGGCACTGTTCCTGAAGAATAGAACAATCAGTTTTATGTGGTGGTCGTCGAAGATCATTGACTCGTTTGACAACATCAATGCGAGCGAAGCCGCGGGTAAAACCTATCATGAAATTGTCAAAGGCACAGAAAAGGACATAGGGTTCCTATCAGATATCTCACGACATCACACATCTTATTTTCTCATTCTCTCTCAATATGATGTTTAAAACTTTTGTAACAATAAGTTAAATAGCTTTCAATAAAAAGATATGTGATCAGTATTAGCTAGATAATAATAAAATAAAATAAACTTACTTTATACTGTAACAGAACCCTTTACGAATTGTTTTGTGTGTTAATTTCAGCCACGTAAAGGGGTGTCTCAGTGACATTCTTTTTCGAAAAATTTTCGCGCGCAGTTTTGATTAATTTTTTTTTACTCGAGCCGCACGAACAAACCATGAACAGAAAAACAGCTTATTCGCAAGGACCAAGTAAAAAAAAGGAACAATTCAAATTTGCATACAAAACACGAAGTACGAAGTACGAAATGACCGTCGCCTACATTAATAAAAGTTTTACGAAAAATAACTCGTCAGTTTAAAAAATAATATGAAGTCCATTTGAAAAATGCCACGGTAAATTCTTATCAAAGTTATTAGCTATTGTACGACTCGTGTATAAGCCGTGTTGCCAACGTTCCTTTGCAGAAATGTATTAATAAATAACTTCTTTGCGCTAAAAATTGTCAAATCTCATCAATTTTTGTTCAGATATAATTTGTAACCAACTAGAAACGCCATTCTATAAAATTCTAAAAACTGCGTCAATATAGATCTAATAGTTACCGAGCCTTGTAACAACAAACATGTCGACAGATCCTTGAAGACCAAGTGCAATGTTTCATTTCTGAATTGTCCACTAGATTGCCTTTCGTTTGATACCCCATATCAACAACTTTATATAAATATTCTTTTTTATTTTCTAATTTATTTTGTAGTCCTTGATAAGGATCACTAGTTAGAAAAACAAATGAGGACGATATTTTTTTTAATGCTTTGACAACGTCGGACACTAACTTAAAGGATATGTTATTATGCAAAATACGAAAAACATGCAATATGCACCGCATTTAGATAAAAACTATCTGTGCCAACGATAATATTTAAATTAGGCTTGAAAAAATATCGAAACAGTTTTTGTACAGTTATCGCAACCTTAGAAATAAACGGTACTTTCCCTACTGATACCGTTTGTAATTTTCTACGGGAATTGCGAAATTATTATGTAACATTTATGCACTTTTTTGTCGGTGGTTTGTTTTATAAACAATTTCGTTAAACTCTATAAAAATATATGCAATAATAAATAATTCTATTTGTATTTTCTAGAACACCATTAAATTATTAAAGTTAGCAAAAATGAATACTTTAATAACGTTACTGTACAACTTTTTACAGCTTATGTAGTATCAATCGGATAAAATATAACGTAGTAGGTAATTTTTTGACAGAANTAATAACGTTACTGTACAACTTTTTACAGCTTATGTAGTATCAATCGGATAAAATATAACGTAGTAGGTAATTTTTTTACAGAACATTGTAATTTCTATATTAATTAAATGAAAACGCAAAACTTTTACAATAAAAATAGTTGCATGAATAATTTCAAGTATTATACAAATTTTCGTTAAAACTAAACTATTACCTATTCTAAAGTAGTTAAAGGTATTTCATGTAGGTAGTAAAAAGCTATTTGTAATTTTAAATTATTATTGGTCCATTAAAACTTATTCTTGCCCGATTGTAACGATTGTCCCATGAGGTGATAAGTAAAAACACAGTGAATTTTATTTCTATCCCATTGGAACAAGAAATCATCTATAATGAAATCCTTCTTCCCAAGGAATATTTAAACATTAAATTCTACAGCAATTATTCAAGATATGTTAATTTATTCGTCTTTATGTTACTGTATAACTCTCTACTACTTGGGTACTAACGATAAGATATATATAATGTAGGTAAGTGGTGTACACCTAATTTTTTTACTGAACATTATATTTTCTTTATTAATTAATAGAATTAAAAGAAACTGTCTGAATCATTTTAATAATCATGCATGTTTTCGTTAAAAACAAAAGCAACTTGACTCTTATTATAAATCAGTTAAAGATATTTCACGTAGGCATCAAAAGGCTATTTATTTGTACATAATTTTAAATTAGGAATACAGTATTGATAATACACATTATATATTTCAAAACCAAAAAAGCGCGATTTACATCAATTAAAAAACCATGATGGCCGACATCAACAACAATACGTCATCAATTAAAAAACCATGATGGCCGACATCGACAACAATACGTTAACAATTAAAAAAGCATGATGGCCGACATCGACAACAATAGGTCAACAATTAAAAAGTATAATGGCCGACACCGACAACAATTGAAAACTATAATGGCCGACATTGGCAACAATACGCTAACAATGAAAAATTATAATGGCCGACAACAGCATTAATACTACTATAATAGACAAAAAAATAATATAGATTCATTATTCTGTATCTACGCAAAAGTTTTTTCATTACAATTGTTAATTAATTATCGGTATACAGGTCAATCTACTACTGTGTATGTTTGGTTGCATATGATTCAAATTAAAATTATTTTTTGACATTTGAAATTTGACAAAAACATGACCATTCCATTGCTATTTGCAAACAGTTTTTAGTATTGTACTCGTTTTCCGGTAGGTTTTTAGCGTATTATGTTATGTATTAGTTCATAAATAGTGTAGTGAATTCGTTTTTCTTGGCAATTATAATTTCATTTCGATCCCACTAGAACAAGAAATCATCTACAATGAAATCACTATTCCCAAAGAATATTTTAACATCAATTCTGCAGTAATTCTCCAATGAGTACCTTTGACTGGTGGTTACAAGAAAATTAATACCTTTCGGAGTGTCAAAATATCAATTAAGGTTTGATGAAGACTAAAGCGAGTGTACATATCAACTATTGTAGAGGAATGTGTATCTCTACTGTTTTATATAGTGAGTTCTTTTATTGTTAATTTGATCCATTTTGCACTAATTCACCATTTACTTTCCTCTAGAAGTATTCATATACATGTTATTTTTTAGTTATTACTGCCATAGCTGTCGTAGATGGATGTGGTACAGTGCTTTAGTAGCCCAGGATCCTAAGGAGGGCCACAGTTGATCATCACGATAGCCTTATAAGGAATTAGAGTTCAACAAAAGACTGCTTAAAATTATTTTAAACAGTTAATAACAACAACAAACAAATCATGTTGCACCGCAGTTCTTGGCCACTTGTCTATGGTACTTTCCCTTATGTTCTTCCTTTTCAATTTATATAAATGAAACATGACAATAGTTTTAATTAAAAACAAGTTATCTATTTTTTTATGGGACAGACAAAGAGCATTATTACTTGAAATGCTAAATATAACTAAAATTTTCATTTATATTTCGTTCAAGGGCATTCTCACATTCTGTATCAAAGATTTCTATAACTTTTTTATTTTCCTGAAGTCATTTCAAGAAGCTGAAGCATTTTTTCTATTTGAAAATTAATAAAAAAGAATAAACATGGAATACCTAATAATTTTAATTACATTATTCACCTTTGACTGATATTGTTGAGGCTCATCAAGTAATAGTTATCATAAACAGGCTTTTTAATTATAAATTTATGTACTTATATTGAAAAGTAGCAAAATTGTCA